TGAGAAGCCTGTTCCTGAAGAGCAGAGAAAAGTTAACAGATTGCTGCATTGACTCTGGGTGGCCAAGTGATTTATTTGTGATGTGACTAAACAAGATGCGCACCTGCCTGTGGAAATGCGATCACACTGAGAAATCAGCGATTTGGATGGCTGTTTAGGCAAGAAAAGGACAGGAGACAGAGGCGAGAAGGAGAACAGGAGAGGAGGGGAGGGGAGGAGAGGAGAAGAGGCTGGGGCCAGTTCCTAAAAGTTATGGTTTCAACAGCATCAGTGAAGCACCTGCAATTGGGCCAGGTGTCTGCAGTTAGCTTGACTGACGCCTAAAATTTTGCAATTAGACTTTCATTCCTCTGGTTTAATCAAACACAGTATGTCCCCCACTAAAGCGTTAATGAAACAGAATCAGGGCGTAAAACTACATCAGCTGTTTCTCAAGGAGAACGCTCTTTTACAAAAGCAGGATTTTGTGTTTTTTTCCCCTAGGCAGGGATGGGCATTAACCCAGTGTTTGAAGGAGTCACCAGTGAGTGAACAAAAGGGCACAGAGAAGAAATTTGGGGGTTCTAGTTGTTTTACAATGTTATGTTATCTTTAGGTGTATGCAAGGTGATTCAGATACATACACACACATTATTTTCCCTATAGGTTATTACAAAACATTGAGTATAGTTCTCAGTGCTATATAATAGGTCCTTGTTGGTTAACTATTTCATATATAATAGTGTGTATATGTTAATCCCAAACTCCTAATTTATTCCCTCCTCCTGCTTTCTGCTTGGGTAAGCATAAATTTGTTTTCTATTTGTGAATCTATTTCTGTTTTGTAAATAAGTTCATTTGTATCCTTTTTTTAGATCCCACATATAAGTGATATCATGATATCTCATGGCTTTTCTTAATCGTTGCAGCTGCCTGTACTGCGCCTTTGCTACTTGGGGCCGTGGGCACCATCCCACACACAGTCAGTCTTCCCAGCAGATGTCCCTCTCTGCAGCTGAGGAAACGGTGGCCCAGCCTTGACTTGTCCATCTTGGCGCCCTAAAGGGACGCTCCGGGCCCAGCGGTTTCTCCTGGGCCTCTCAGCACTGCCCACGGTGTCCGGCTCTTAGGAGGCACTCGGTCCATCACCTGTCCACAGAGGGAAGTGTGGTGGAGATGCAATGCGAGGCAGGCCCTCTACCACTAGCCCCATTCGCCATTTGCTGTAGCTTTCTCCCAGGTGAGCCACTCCCTCCGCTCCACTTCTGGCCAGAGTAGCATGAGAAATTCGTGAACCACGCCTCGGGGAGGCTAACGTCCTCCGTCACTGCTCCCTCCTCCAGATCCCTGGGTCAGCCCCGCTAACTGGACAGCCAGACCCTTCCACTTGGCCCTGCTAGTTGTCTCTCTTCAGATATTTCCTGTCCCCAGTTCGGCTGTCATGCCTTGGAGGGCAGGCACAGCGTCTCTGCAGAGGTGCTTTCGGTGATGCACATGTACTTTAGAGTTGTAAGAGGACCTTTCTTGACAGCGACATTTTTAAAATTTTATTTTAAATTGAAGGATAATTGCTTTACAGAATTGTGTTGTTTTCTGTCAAACCTCAACATGAATCAGCCACAGATATACACATATCCCCTCCCTTTTGAACCTTCCTCCCATCTCCTGCTCCATCCCACCCCTCCAGATTGATTCAGAGCCCCAGTTTGAGTTTCCTGAGCCACACAGCAAATTCCTGTTGGCTGTCCATTTTACACATGGTGATGTAAGTTTCCATGGTACTCTTTCCATACATCTCACCCTCTCCTCCCCTCTCCCCATGTCCATAAGTATATTCTCTATGTCTGTTTCTCCATTGCTACCCTGTAAACAAATTATTCAGTGCAATTTTTACAGATTTCGTATATATGCATTAGAATATTATATTTATCTTCCTCTTTCTGACTTACTTTAACCTATATAATAGTTTCTAGGTTCATCCACCTCATTAGAACTGACTCAAAGGTGTTCCCTTTTATGGATGAGTAATACTCCATTGTGTATATGTACCACAACTTCTTTATCCATTCATCTGTCGATGGACATCTAGGTTGCTTCCTTTTTCTAGCTATTGTAAATAGTGCTGAAATGAACAATGGGATACATGTGTCTTTTTCAATTTTGGTTTCCTCAGGGTGTATGTCTAGGAGTGGGATTGCTGGGTCATATGGTGGTCTTATCCCTAGTGTTTTAAGGACTCTCCATACCATCTTCCAAAGTGGCTGTATCAATTTACATTCCCACCAACAGTGCAAGAGCATGTCCTTTTCTCCACACCCTCTCCAGCATTTATTGTTTGTAGACTTTTTGATGATGGCCTTTCTGACTGATGTGAGGTAATATTTCATTGTAGTTTTGATTTGCATTTCTCTGATAATGAGCGATGTTGAGCATCTTTTCATGTGTTAGTTAGCCATCTGTATGTCTTCTTTGGAGAAATGTCTGTTTAGGTCTTTTCCCCACTTTTTGATTGGGTTGTTTGTTTTTCTGGTATTGAGTTGCATGAGCTGCTTGTATATTTTGGAAATTAATCGTTTGTAAGTTGGTTCATTTGCTATTATCTTCTCCCACTCTGAGGGTTGTCTTTTCACCTTGCTTATAGTTTCTTTGCTCAACAGCAACATCTTATCTTTGTGTTTTCTATTAACCCCACTGTGGTAGGCTTTCTGGTCAGCATCCCTCCTCTTATTCCTAGCATTTGGTTCAGCAGCAAAGGAGGGGGATGATGAAGTTGTAAGTGAAGGGGGAGTCCATCAGAGTGCTAAATTTTTAAAGATTGAGAATATTGTGTGTGGGCAGGGATGGGGGAATGGATATGCATATGCTGTGGGCGAAGCCTCTTTAGAAGGCAAATCATCAGTAAACAACAGTGGCTTAAAGCAGAAATTTTATTTTTCTTTCATACAAAAATCTAGGATGTCCTGAGAAGAAGGGTAGCTTGGCTGCTTGAGGTTATCCAGAAGCCCAGATTCTTTCTATACATCATCCCACCATCCCCAAAGGTACTGTCTTCATCACCTGGTGGAAGCTGGTTCCCACCACCACCACATCTGCTCTCCAAACAGCATTCTCAACAGGGAAAGAGGAAATAGACCAATGGCTACTTTTAAAAGCATGACTCAGAAATTTCACAGTACGTCCCATTGGCCAGAAGTTAGTTACCCGTCTCCCTTGTCTGCAGCAAGGGACCCTGGGAAACACCTTCTCAAGCTGTGCCTAGATAAAACTCAGGAGATTCATTGCTAAAACGAATAACAGAGCAAATATTTGTTGGGCAGCTTTAGACACATAGAGGAATTATCAAAATTAAAAGTGAATATGTCACTTGGTCCAGCAGTTCTAGTTCAGAAAATCTATTATAAGGATGTGTTCACACAAGTACATGAAGATTATAGAAAAGGGTAATACTGATGGCTTTCAAACAAGTTTGCAAACTCTTTGATACTCCTCCCTTCAAAATGGCTGGACTCGGTGACTGACTTGTAGTGAACAGAATGGGGCAGAGAAGACAGTGTGTGACTTATGAGGCTAGGCCTTAAAATGCTTTTCTGCTTTTCTGTTCTCTCTTGAATAACTCACTCTGGGGGAAACCTGCCGCCATGCTGTGAGGATCCTCAATCAGCCTCGTGGAGAGGGCCACTTAGGGAGCTAGGAATTAGGGCTCTCCACCATCAGACAGCCAGCAACCCTCTCCAGTATTCTTGTTTGAAGAATCCCATGGACAGGGGAGCCTGGCAGGCTACAGTCCATAGTGTCATAAAGAGTCGGACGCAACATGCTAAGAACCTTAGCGTGGCACGGCACCATCAGACATCACCCACTTGCCAGTCCTGGAGGGAGTGAACCTTTCAGCACTGTCAAACCCCAGTGATTATAGCCCCAGCCAACATTCTGACTGCAACCCAATGAAAAACGTGAAGCCCGAAGCCATCCAGCCAAGCAGCTCCCAAATTCCTGTCTGGCAAAAACTGTGAGCCATGTTAAATATTTATTATAGTTTTAAGTCACAAAATTTTGGGGTGATGTGTTAGGTGGCAATAATTTTGCTTCCTTGTTTGTAGTAGCAAAACCCAGAAATACCAGAAATAATGAAGGGAGGTTAGGGAGGGTGCTGTCGCCTCTGGGGGTGGGTTTGGGCACCCCATGTGCACCCCTTCTGATAGACTGTAGTGTATATGCATTGTGTACCCAAAGCGGCTTTCTGGACACATAGTACATACACAGCTGTGTATATATATTGTATACACAAAGTGCCTTTGTGGACACATAGAAACAGTTTTTATATAGGTGCTGTCCCCTTGGGCTGATTCAATCAACTGCTAGGTCACACGGCTCCTATTGTTAAATCAGTCCCCATAAACAGGTAATCCTCACTGATTTGATCAACATGCTTGGGTCATGTGACACCTACATATTAAACCAGCCCCTAAAACATGTGACTCCCATTGATTAAATCAGCTCCGTTAAATATCCTGACCCCCACTACATCAATCATCCTTCTTAAATCTCCTGGCATCCATTCTACCAATCAAACCCCTTAGGTTTCCTGAACTCCATTAAATCCATCTGCCTTCTTAACTCTCCAGACACCCATTAAGTCATTCTGCCTTCTTAATTCTCTTGTACCCTATTAAGTCAATGGGTCTTCTTTTTTTTAAGATTTCCAAAATAACAAAACACTTGAGATTTGAGACTAATGGGAAATTTTAAGTAATGGGAATTGGACTCTCATCGGGGTCTTCTGGGAAATCAGGAGCACCACCCCCTTCTGCAGCTCAATGTTTCTCCAGTTTAGTAATCAATTCCTTCTCTGGACGCCATTGGTCTGCTGGTCAAAGACATAGCAGCGAGGGGTGGTGTGAAAAAGCTGCAGCGGGCAGCGCTCGCAGAAATAATGCCTGCACTTGGTGATAACTGGATTTTGGAAGGCCTGGCGACAGAGGAAAACACTTGAATGGTATTTCCTCCTGGTCGCTTCCCACTTGGTAGTTTTCGTCCTCTTCGACGCCACAGGGATGCTCATCAAGTCCGTGCTCAATCTGCCACCCGTGCTTGTCATCTGAACAGTCACGGAGGAATTTGCAGCGGTCTGCAAAGCCGCAAAAACCAATCTCCTCGTAGTCCTTACAAATGTCGAGCTGGTAATCCCAGCACATGGAGATGCTGGGGAGCTCGGATGGGGCCCTTCCACACCATTCTGGAGGAAGCAGTGCCCATAGACGTATCCCTGGGCTTCATGTATTTCTGACAGTGAGTGTTAGATCTTATTAGATCTGATGATTACTAGATCAAACCACCCGACAGATCGTCTTCCTTGCCCCGCAGCTCCTCCAGGATCTCCCGGCTGCGCTTAGAGACGGCGTGTGTGTCGCGCTCCTCCTCCGTGTCCAGCCGTGGGCAGCAGTGGCCCCCAAACCTCTGGCCCTAGGGGTTTCGCCGAGCGAGTGGACTTACAGACCACAGCCAGACACCTGGGCTCGTTCTCCCCCTCCTCGCCGCTCCGGCCACCGTACGCCGCATCTGTTGATCACTCTCACGGGTCTTCCGTGTCATGGGATTGTGGGGAGCTTTGCTTCTTTTCCGGGCGAACCGCAGTGTTCCCTTCATCACTGCAGCTGTTCTCTCCAGACTCTTGGTTGCAGATGGGGCGCTTTCTGCAGCCTGCAGCTACTTTTTGCCCAGACTTTTTGAAAAGAAAGGACTTTTTCACAACTGGTCTGTCCTCTTTCCTGGGGAAAGTTGCTCTGCCCTTTTTAGGATCTTGAGCTCTGAAACGGCTGTGGTCTGCTCGGTGGCACGGGCCTGCTCATCACTGCACTATCCGAGTGCTCGGCTGTGAATTCGTGCAAAATCTGTGGTGGCAGGTGTTCTTAGTCTCCTGATGGACCTTAAAAAAAAAAGCCCCCTTAAACCTTGTGATTGCCTTTGATTCAATCAGTCCTCTTAAATCAGCCTGGGAAGGGGGGTGTCCTTCCTCAGGGGTGCTTGGGTAGAGTATAGCTGATGAATAATATCATGTTAGTTTCAGGTGTATGCAAAGTGATTCAGTAATACATATACATGTATCTATTCTTTTTCAAATTCTCTTCCCATGTAGGTTTTTACAGAATACTGAGCAGAGTTCCCTGTGCTGTAGGGAAGGTCCTTGTATGTTGTTTTGGTGTTTGTTTGGGTTATCTATTTTACATACTGTGGTATCTGTATGACAGTTCCGGTCTCCCAGTTTATCTTTCCCCTTTGGTTAACCTTTGGTAACCACAGGTTTCCTTTCTAAGTCTCTGAGTCTGTTTTATGAATTAGGTTCACTTGTAACATTTTGATAGTCTACAGTGAACGGGATCGGATTCCTGATCTCTGAAGAAGAAAATTTAGCTTCAGGATCAGGGACCAGGCTTGGCCCCTCGGGGCTCTTGTGTGGTAGAAGTTTTATTACAGTGAAAAGGGGCAGAGAAGGCTTCTGACATAGACATCAGAAGGGGGCGGAGAGTGCACCCCCCTCACTAGTCTTATCAGGGCCTTATACATTTTTACCAGACCCACTCCCACAATATGCATCTTAAGTTAACAAGATTAGAATCAACAATAGAAAGATCTTACCAGACCCTATTTGGAACAACAAACTGGTTCCAAATAGGTAAAGGAATACGTCAAGGCTGTATATTGTCACTCTGCTTATTTAACTTATATGCAGAGTACATCATGGAAACACTGGGCTGGATGAAGCACAAGCTAGAATCAAGATTGGCAGGAGAAATATCAACAACCTCAGATATGCAGATGACACCACCCTTATGGAAGAAAGCAAAGAGGAACTAAAAAGCCTCTTGATGAAAGTGAAAGAAGAGAGTGAAAAAGTTGGCTTAAAATTCAACATTCAGAAAACTAAGATCATGGCATCTGGTCCTATAACTTCATGGCAAATAGATGGGGAAATAGTGGAAACTGTGGCAGACTTTATTTTGGGGGGCTCCCAAATCACTGCAGATGGTGACTGCAGCCATGAAATTAAAAGACATTTACTCCTTGGAAGGAAAGTTATGACCATCCTAGGCAGCATTTTAAAAAGCAGAGACATTACTTTGCCAACAAAAGTCCGTCCAGTCAAAGTTGTTTTTTCCAGTAGTCATGTATGGATGTTAAAGTTGGACTATAATGAAAGCTGAGTGCCAAAGAACTGATGCTTTTGAACTGTGGTGTTGGAGAAGACTTTTGAGAGTCCCTTGGACTGCAAGGAGATCCAACCAGTCCATCCTAAAGGAAATCAGTCCTGAATATTCATTGGAAGGACTGATGCTGAAGCTGAAACTCCAATACTTTGGCCACCTGATGATGAGAAGAGCTGACTCACTAGGAAAGACCCTGATGCTGGGAAAGATTGAGGGCAGGAGGAGAAGGGGATGGACAGAGGATGAGATGGTTGGATGGCATCACCAACTCAATGGACATGAGTTTGGGTAAACTCCGGGAGTTGGTGATGGACAAGGAGGCCTGGTGTGCTGCAGCCCATGGGGTTGCAAAGAGACAGGACTGAGCGACTGAACTGAACTGAACCAGACCCCTTGCACAATTTACATTTTAAGATGACAGGATTAGAACGAACAGTAGAAAGATCTTACCAGACCCACTCCCATAATATACATTTCAAGATAATAGGATTAGTCAGAAGGTTCTCAAGAAGGAGAAACATGTCCTCAAGCAGGATACATTGTTTTCATATAATCCTTAGTACAGAGTCTAGGGTTTCCCTGGTGGCTTAGAGGGTAAAGGGTCCACCTGCAATGTGGGGACCGGGATTCAATCCCTGAGTCAGAAAGATCCCCTGGAGAAGGAAATGGCAACCCACTCCAGTAGCCTTGCCTGGAAAATCCCATGGACTGAGAGCCTGGGAGACTGCAGTCCACGGGGTTGCAAAGAGTCATACATGACTGAGTGACTTCACTTCACTTTTTGTGAGTGGTGTAAGATAGCAGTCCAATTTCCTTGCTCTATATGTGTTTATCCAGTTTTTCTCAATACCATTTATTGAAGAAACTGTCTTATCCACATTGGATGCTTTTGGCTCCCTTGTCAAATACTAGTTGATCATGTAAGCTGGGGTTAATTTTGAGCTCTGTTCTTGGTATATGTGTCTATTTTTGTGCCAGTACTGTACTGTTTTTATTACTGTAGCTTTGTAGTACAGTTTGAAATCAGCAAGTGTGTGAGTGAGTGAAAGTTGCTCAGTCATGTCTGACTCTTTGCGACCCCAAGGACTATACAGTCCATGGAATTCTCCAGGCCAGAATACTGGAGTGGGTAGCTGTTCCCTTCTCCAGGGAATCTTCCCAACCCAGGGATTGAGCCCAGGTCGCCCATATTGCAGGCAGATTCTTTACCAATGAGCCACAAGGGAAGCCTGGAAGTGTGTGATACCTCCAGCTTTGTTCTTTTTTCTCAGGATTACTTTGGCTATTTGGGGTCATTTGTGGTTCACTATAAATGTTAGGATTTTTTTCTATTTATGTGGAGAATACTATTGATATTTTGATGGAGACTGCATTGAATCTATAGCCATTTCAGCAATATTAATTCTTCTGATCCATGAGTACAGATATTTTTCTATTTGTTGTGTCTTTTATTTCTTTTCAGTAGTCTTACAGTTTTTGTGGTGCAGATCTTTCACTTCCTTGGTTAAATTTTTTCCTAAGTATTTTATTGTTTTGATGCTATTGTGAAAGGGATATTTTTATTTCTTTTCATATATTTTATCCTTAGTGAATAGACATAATACTGACTTCTACTTATTGATGTTGTATGGTGCAACTTTACTGACATCATTGATTAGTTTTAACAGTTGTTTTGGTAGAGTCTTTGGGATTATCTGTATACAAGATCATATCACCTGCCTTTCTGTATAAGTAATACTTACTAAAAGGATAAGTTTTACTTATTCTTCCCCAATTTAGATGCCTGTTATTTCTTTGTCTTAGTTAATTACTCTATCAGGGCTTCCAATACTATATTGAGTAAGAATGGTGAAAATGGACATCCTTGTCTTATTCCTGATCTTAGAAGGAAAACTTTCCACCTTTCTCCATTGAGTATAATGCTAGCTATGCATTTGTTATACATGACCTTTATTATGTTTAGTTATATTCCCTCTGTACCCAATCTGCTAAGGGTTTTTTATCATGAAAGGATGTTGTATTTTGTCAAATGGTTTTTCTGCATCTGTTGAGATGATCATGTGATAAAATATTTTGTTTCATTACTATGTGTTACATTTATTGATTTGCTTATGTTGAGCCATCCTTGCATACAGGCATAAATCTCACTTGGTTGTGGTGTGTAATCCTTCTTAAGTGTTCTTGAATTCAGTTTGCTGACACTATGTTGAAAGTTTCTATTCCTATATTCATCAAGGATATTGATCTAAAGTTTTCATTTCTTGTGGTATCCTTATCTGGCTTTGGTTTCAAGGTAATCTCGGCCTCATAGAATGAGTGTGGAAGTATTCCCTTCTCAAAATTTTGTAAGAGCTTGAGAAGGACTGATGATGAGAGATCACAGAACTCTCTCTCTTGCACATGTTGACGAAAGGCCATATGAGGACATAGTGACAAGGCAGCCATCCGCAGGACGGGCAGAGGGCGCTCACTAGAAACCAAAATGGCTTAACCTTTACCTTGGACTTCCAGCTTCCATAGCTGCGGGGCAATAAATGCCTCTGTTTAAGTTGTCCAGTCTATAGTATTTTGTCATGGCAGCCTCAGGAGACTGACTAATACAGGTAATACTCCCATTTCTTCTCAGTCACCCTCTCTGCATTGAGAGGTCTCAGAAAGCAGAGAGACTTGGTTTTGCATATAGTTATGTCCCCAGAACCTAGCAAAGGGCCTGACATACCACTGCACCCAAATAAATACATTAGCATTTGAAGTTTGCCATTCATACCTAGCAAGACAAACAGTATGAAGTAAAAATGCATACTTCATCCTGGCCTGTGCAATTAATTAATTTATTCCTTCACATTATTCAGCTTGTCGATATTTATTGAATTCCTCCTATGTGCCAGACAGATAACACTCAATATATGTTAATTCCCTTCCTGGTAAAATGGACTTGGTGTCTATCTAACTTTGCTGGAACTCTAAAAGGAGCCAATTATCCTGCGCTCTCCCCGGGCGTCTGATAGAACTCAGCATGTCCATCATAGCTATAGGAATATCACTAGCAGGCAAGGCTAGCTGGATTAGACCTGCAGTGTTTAAAGTTTAGCAAGAAAGCTTTCTGCAAATGTCAACACTACTGTTCCACTCCCAGCAAACCAGCGTCCCAATCAGCAGGGCTGCTGATTCCAGTTTACTGGGTAATGCTGTAGAAAAGTCCTGAGACACAATCAAGTTCTCTAGATGAGGAATACCAGAAGGCAGAAGGTGGGGAACAACGATCACGGCTGCCTATTATGTGCTACGTGCAGGACTTGCAGCTTCAGTTACGCCTCCTCTGATCCTCATGAAAACACTGATGGGGGAAGAGATGAGGCTCACAGGGGTCATGTAGCTCCAGCTGAGTGTTAGGGAAATTAAAGGAATAGTGTTGTTTAGTCTTCAGAGACAAAGCAGAAC